TAACTATTATTTCAATTGCAACTCAAGCTACCTTTTCCTTTAATGCCTTCCCTGAGCAGTCCAACAAATCTGTCTTTTCATCAAGATAGGGAGCATTCCTACAACTAATTGTGTGACCCACTCCTCAGAGGGTTAATTTTATCAAAGGTTTTCTATTACTTCAAGTAGGTTTAGTATCTTTGTGGATTAAATAATGCTTCTCTATCTTACACAGTATCCTTATGGACCCTTTTCACTCAATGCACCTATAGAGAAGAAAAAAAATAGAATAACTATTGAAATCTATCTTTAACGGTGGTGTCTCCCTCAGGTTTACATACCTTTCTGTGCATGAGACTTAGTGCTATGTAAAGAAATTATGAGAAGTTTTTAGAAAAATCCCAGCAAGTACCAGGAGAGTTCATGAAACTGAACTCATCCCTTCTCCTGTCCTTGCCTGGTTAAATATGGTGGTTGTGTTGACTGATTGCTTCAACAGAGCTGCAAAAAGCTCAGGTAATTGCTAAGGAAAGGAAAGTGGGTGATGGTTACATAACCATCCAGTCTATCGTGTGGACAAAGTGGGAAGTGCAGGTTCTGGGTGACAAACGTGGATGGGATTATGATCAGGGATCCCTAGTGAAGAGGGAAAGCATCACACCACCAGCTTCATTAAAGGTCTGAACAGGTGCACCATTAAACCTACAAGGTATGTCAAGGGGTGGAAGGTCATCCTGAGAGAGGATGAAAACCCAGGTGGATATGGAAATGAAACAATGGAGGGAAAGACCTTAATAACCATGCATTTTATTCCCCAATCAGTCCCAGGCACCAGAAGAACATTATAAAGATTATAAATGATAAGAATTATAAAAGATCTGGACCAGGCACCTTGAGACTCCAATGGCTGTTCAGGCTAACGAGGACTTTAAAGTTGTAACAATAGAGATGGCAGGAGTGGCCTCTTTGCCTTAGCCTCCTCAAGGTGACTTTAGGAGAACATAGTCCCAACAGTCTGAAAGCTTCTAGAGCATCCCTCTGGGTCCAGTCAGTGCGCTTCCTCCCTCAAAGAGAGACATTGGGAATGGGAATCTCCTGGTCATGTTGTTTTGGAATGGTCAAATGGCACCATAAGCAGAAGGCTCCTCTTGGCTTTTTTCTACAGAATCATGCTTTTTGGTGTCTAAACAATGACCCAGACCCAGACTTAAACCACACTGGAGGAGCCTCAGATTCCTTCACTAGCAGAAAAGAAAACAGAATTCTTTTTGATACCTAGCGGATAACTCTGTTCTGATGCAGCTTGTAGGGTCTTTATCAAAACAACGCACTCCATAGACAATGCGAGGGAACAGTAGACACCGGCGGGGCATGGGAGTGGGTGATGAGGTAAGATGCTTTTTCCTTTTCTCTGTTTGTGTGGGAGAAAGCTTGAGATAGTATTGTGCATTCCTTTCTTTAGGTCAGGTAATATCTTAACCCATTGTTAGGAAGGGGTGGGCCTGTTGACCAAGTCTGACGCAAGTGTCTTCTTAGCTACAAACTAAATTCCGGTAGAGATACTGTCAGCCCAAGGTATTCATTTGTGAGTCCTTTAAATAAGGGTTGGCTGCCTTTCTCATAGCTCTTGAGGAACACTTGACTTGGAAAACTTCAATTTGGAGTACTTTAGCCCCATAATGCACTGTTAATTCTATTCCTCTTTGGATTAGACTAGACCTGAACTGGGGATCACGGATCTTTGAAAGGATGAGATATAAGCTCTTCAGGTACATTTAGAGAAAATCATTATTTTTGCTTGATATTTTATAGAAAGTCATTATCATTGCCTATATCTATTTTAAGGGTTTATGCTATTTTTACCTTGTGCTAATATCCCCATTTTTCTATACATCATTTAATTAGATAAATTTTGTTTTTATGGTCAGAAGTATTAGCAAAAGAGAAATGAATGGTTTGAGGGGAAGGGAAGTCGACAGTTGATATAGTGGTTACAAATTATTTTATAACAAATTATTTCTCAAAGAGACTAGATTTAAATAACACACATTTATTATTTCACAAAACTTGGGTGTCAATAACCCAGCCTTAGCTTACTTGTGTGTCCCAGATTCAGGGCCTCTCACAGCGCTTCAGTAGGGTATTGCTAAACACTGGGGCCTTATCTGAAGTCTGTGGCTGCAGGAGTTGTTTCTAAGCTCTGAGGTTTTTAGGATCATGTTCCATCAAGGGTATTAGCTGAGTGGTATCGGTTTTTATCGGTTTCTTGATCATTATTGGTTCAAAACCACCCTAAGTTTCTTGTTCCTTGTCTCACAAACTCTTAATGGTTTTTGCTCATTTATAGAGACTGTGCCAGAGGGACGGAGAGTCTGCTGTCAAGGTAGAACTCTCTAGTTATAGTGGCCTTGCATCCTGACACCTAAATATCAGTTCAAGGCTGTTTATGAATTAAAGATAACCTTGTTTTGGCTTATAGTTCTAGGGAACTATAACTAGAGAGTAAAGTCCATGGTGGATAGCCTGATATTCTTGGAGTTCTACTGAGTCATATGTTATGGGGGATTTTGATGTGAATGCTAGCATCTCAAGACAGAAAGAGAAACGAGAGAAAGAGTTAAATAGATAGATGTTAGATAGATAGACAGACAGATAGATAGATAGATAGATAGATAGATAGATAGATAGAAAATATAAACCCCAAAGTCTCTTAATGATATAAGACCTCTCTTCAGGCCCTGCCACCTCCAAGTCCGCAGTATCTCCCAGTATCAGAACTCTAGTGACCAACCTGTTACACATCTATGTTTAAGAAGCTCTCTCTTAAACTATAGCTTTAACTTGTGTTGCATAACTTGTGTCGTGGGGAAAACATCCCATAGTCTTCGTTATTTGTTGGAAGCAATCACTGAGCAGCTGATAACTGAGAGACAATGATTAGGTAAGGACATGGGATGACAGTATTTCTCGCTCTTATGAACAAACCTGCTTACTATTTTCCTATAATGTATGCAAGTTTATAAAGTTCCCCCAAACAACGGTAGCAGATGTGGAGGCTCTGGTTAGATTTCCTAGCAGACATTTAATGAGACCAAACACAAGGAAAGAAAATCAAACTCAGAAAATTTTGTGCTTTGGTACTTTTCTCAGGAGTGCCCTTAAAATTCTCTAATGGGAAAGAAATTGGGAACAGGCGGTGGCAGTGGTGAACGCCGTCCTGCAAATCTGCCAGGATACTTGGGTTTCAGTTGTCTCTCTTCACCCTCACAGCTGCAGACAGCTGGAATCTGAAGCACGGAGTGTGTGTGTGTGTGTGTGTGTGTGCGCGCGCGCGCACGTGTGCGTGCACGCGCACGTGTGTATTTCCTGACCCTCTCTCTGCCACTCACGCATTCTCAGCTTCTCATGCTACCTGTGCCTCTCACAGATGAGGACATTAGATTTTATATTTCTTGGCATGACGTCTGGAATTATCTGAAACCAAGACACTGGAAATTTGTCCTGCTCTTGGAGTCTGTGTTACTTAGTAACAGTCCATTTGTCCTAAAGAATTTTTTTGTGGAAAAAAAATACAGCTTAGCAGTTTCTCTGCTTTCTCAAAAGTCTTTAAAATATGTTCACCAATGAGCCCAGAGAAACAGACTAGTAACGTTACAATGTGCCATGGAATATAACATGAAATTTATTCCTTGTGTGTCTTCATAGCATTCATAGGGACGACTTAAGGGAGTCAAGGTTAAACTAGTCAATGAAAGACTCAGGGGTTTTGCCATTTCCTAAAGTCTTTTTATGTTGTTCTCATCCCAAACCATAAAAGAAGCTCTGTTACTTGCTCTGACCTTGAAAAAAGGCGTTGTGGTGTTCAGTGTCAAATTTCCTCCCATTTCATATCTATAGAAAGGAATGCCTTAACTTTTTTCTACGGTAATTGTGCGGCTTGAACAATAGCAAATCCGTGAACGTACATCTGAAGGTGTGTCATCTGCAATGCTGATTTTCATTCCCCCTGGTGAAAGTAGATACAAGGAGTTGCACAGGGCATGTGGGATTGCTTGGCTTCCCATTATTAGATGACTTCTCTATGTGCTGCTAACTCTATTTCCCTTGAGGAAGATTCGTGACTCTCATGAAGTTTTCACAGAACACACAGCAGGGAGCATGATGGTGTAGCCCAAGTGGTGGCTACACGGAAAGGGCTGAACTAGCAAAGCTATCAACAAATCTTATTCTTTTTTTTTTTTAGTTTAATGGTAGGATTTTTTTATTACATTTTTATTGATTTTTATTAGGCTTTACATTTTTCTCTGCTCCCCTCCCTGCTGCTCCCCTCCCCGAATGTGCTCCAGATGTAAAAGGAGTATAGGAGAGAGATATTTCCATTTATATTTTTCTCCTCCATAAATTCTTAACCTACAAGAAAACAATGCAAGGAGAGATCTGTCTAAAAGTGTGAACAGATTTGAAACCGTGTGTGTGTGTGTGTGTGTGTGTGTGTATGTGTGTTTTTATGTGTATGTCTTTTCTCACGGTCTGCGTGTTTCATTTGGAATATATATTGTGACCTTTTATGTCTTTGTGTGTGTAAGTTTATGTTCAGATACCTATAATGTACATATGTGTACATTATATAAAAGCCAAAGGTCAGCGTTGAGTGTCTTCTGTCACTCTCCCTTATCTTTTAAGCTAGAATCTCTCACTGAATTCAGCGCTCACAAATGGGCTAGGCTGACTGGCCAGCATTCCCTGGTGATCTGCTTGTTATTCTGCACTCTGCACTAGGTTTGCAGACGCAAGCCATGGTATTGACTTCTATTATTTGGATTCTGGGCATCCTAACTCCAGTCTTCATGCTGTGTGGTAGGTAGGCAGTGTGCCTACTTCGCTATAGACCGAACATTTCCCTAGCTCCAGGATTGGAAACTTTCACACCCTGTTGCCTTTGGGAGCACTGGAGTTTCTGAAGGGCTGGAGCACTGGGGCTTCTGGTTTCCATGTGAGCGCTTCTTCTCTTTTCTATACAGGACAACAGCGAGGCCTCTGCAAAGTACTGGGAGAAGAGTGAGCGATGCAGAGAAGTGCTAACCCAACCGGGGGCAGGTCCTGAAAAGACACCGGAAGCTGAGTGTTGAGGTTGGCTGTTGGCTCAGGAAACAGCTGGAAGGATCTTCAGAATCTGCAGGTAATCCACATCTCAGTAGGATCTGCAAGCAAGGGGGAGGCCAGGCAGACCTGCAATCAGAGAGCAGGCCGTGCAGTTCTGCAGACAGGGGGGGCAGGCCATGCGGTTCTGCAGACAGGCCATGCAATTCTGCTAACAAGGAGAGCAGGCCAAGTAGTTCTGCCGGCAGGGAGACATGGCCAGGCTCTGAGAGACTCTTGCTCTTGTATGATATGAACTTCTGTCTATTTGACTGCAGTTTCTGTGGTAAAGGTCTAAGAAGCCCCCAATAATCGTTATGGGTAAAATTCCGGATGAACATGCTGCAGTTAGATATATGCTCAAATTTGTTTCCCTGTTATTGATTAATTTTAAATTTAATGGCTTATTAGCTGTTTGAGTATAGTGCATTTCTTTTCAAAACCATTTACTCTTAGAAGTAGGAAAAGTATAATTTTGTGAGTAAATGGAATTCCACTGATAGTTTCCAGCCTAGAGCAAGTTATACTGTCTGATTCATTGGACACCTTCACTTCTCTTAATGACAATGTCTACCGCCATATTTCCATATTATTATATACAGTGCTATTAGACTGAGAGTTAATAAGGAATAGGCTGTTTTAAGAATTTAAAATATATTCTATCCAAGAAGTAAACTGTATTTCGGTATTGTCATTCAAATTTAACATATATCTCGCAATGATGAGGGTAACTCAGGACTGGTCTGAGTCATGTTTGGCATGTATCAGGTCTTGTATTCAAATACCCATAAAAGATCAACTGATCTATAATAATAACAATTTAATAATAATTTAACCTATCTGTCAACAACATAAAGTCTCACCCGCTAGGGAAAGTTGTTTCGTGACTCCTTGATTGGTCCAGCTATGAATTTGCTTTGTGCTCTTGGCTGAGATGGTGTGTTAGTGATGGAACCCAGGCCTCAGGGGCGTTGGGTTTTGCCCTCACCCCTTTTCATTTTCTGGCCCTCGCCCTGAGAAGAACCTGCTGGGTTGATCTGTGAGGGCTAGGGGGAGAGTGGGAGATGTAGAGTCAAGTCATCCTGGAGAAATCCAGCTGACTTTCAGACCTCGGAACAAAATAAATGCTCGTTGTTCTCTGCACCGGGCTCCCGAGACTTGCTGTGCAGCATTATGGGGCCATCAAGATAATTTTGCTTCCTTTCCTTCTGTGTCCCATGAATCGTAGGATAGTTTGCCAATGCTCCCAACTTGGATTGTCTTCAGGGCAGAGAGGAAAAGTGGGGATGGGTATGAAGATGGAGCTGGGAGACCCCACCCGCCCCTCCTGAAATGCACCTCCAGTCTAAGATGGTGGTGTGGATGGTGTCCCTTCTGTTCAACAAAGGCTATAAATCTGGATTTTATTTTATTTTTTGTTATTGCGTTTGTGTTTCTATGCATGGCTGGGCGAGTGACATTTCAAGACTATGGAGGTCATAGAACAACTTTCAAAACTTGGTTCTTTCCTGCCACCATGTGCGTTCCTGGGGTTACACGTAGCTTGCCAGGCTTGGTGGCAAGTGTCATTGTCTGCTGAGTCATTTTTCCCAGTTCCCAAAGCTAGATTTTTATGCAGGATTTACAAAGTATGATTTCAGGAACTAATTAAGAGTGTACACCGCTCTATGTGAAAGACCAAGTTTCCTCTTCAGCAATTTAAAGGCTGGACTGTGTGCACCTATTTAAAGCTCCAGACTGATGAGCTCTGGTCTCAGGTCATCCTGTATCATATTTCTGCTACAGTCAATTACAGTCAATCAGCACAGTTCTCATGGGAAAATGTACATTAAATATATTCCTCTCCTAAAGAATATTTTACAAATCTGAACACACTGTAAAAACTACAGTCAACAAGAAAAGCCTATGAGACCCAATATCCCCAAATCCCTTACCCACTCCAAACATCCAAATCTAATAAGCCCTCCTCCTTATTATACTAGAAGCCGACTTTCTTTTTTTCATTACCAGAGGAAATGAGTGTTTCCATTTCAGAGGTCTTATTTTTCTTTTCATGGTATAAAAACCTTAAGATGATTTATTGCTGTGACTTAAGTGATTTCCAGGCTATGCTCCATCGAAGAAAGAATTTTAATTCCATTACATTATTTTTCTTAATAAATTAGTTATCAGCTAGAAAAATGACCTGATACCTCTATTCCAGAGGAGGAAAGCAGGAAGTTTTCATTTTAAGTCTTCATTAGCTGCTGCTGATTAGGCCTGTAAGAGGGATTCAAACTCCAGATTTCCCCTGTCATAGAGGACAATTAAAGGTGGGGGTGAGGGTGGGTTGTGACGGGTGGTGGGATGGGACACCGGACTCTAACTTCTGCGCTAGGTCCTTATTCATGGTTGTGTGTGGCTTACAAAATAGAGACCTCTGCAAGTATGTCAATTTAATTTAAACAAAATACAGTTAGTCTCATTCAACTGAGCATCGAATGCAGGATAAGAAATGGCACAGAAAGCAGAAGAGGCCAACCCTGCCCTGAAGTAAAACAGACTTAATGAAGGCCGAAAGGAGGAGCCAGTACTAGGGGATATTTGTGCTTGTATTTGGAATAATAGGTTAAGATACATTAATGATGTTTGTGTCATTCTTCGTTAGATGGGGAGAGGCACTGCCATAGCCTCTGTGTTTCTTTTTAGAATGGCTTTTGTGTTTTGACTATTTAATAGTTGCCAAAAAGGAAGCGGTCACTTTAGCACTTGTTAAGAGCCAATGATGCACTAGGGTAACATGTTTCATTTACACAAGGGTGCACAGCAATAAAAATTTGGGTTCCCATTTTATTCAATGAGGGAACAGACTCAGAAGACCCATAGATCAACACAGACATTACTCTCTCCCTGAGACTTTTCTCATTATCCCTGTGCTTTTCCCTGAACTCTGTAAAATATACCCAGTGTTTGCATTCTAGCGTATATAGCACATTCTAGCGCATATAGCATCTTTGTTTTGTTAATAAAATTTAGGATTTGACAATTTTATCTATTCATGAAACATATTGGGATTATCTCATCCAATTCTCTCTTCTCTCTCTCTCTCTCTCTCTCTCTCTCTCTCTCTCTCCCAACCCTCTTCCTGCAAATTCCTTTGTCATTTTTATTTTGTTTTGGGAGCCACTGAGTTTAACCAACACCATTCTTATGGCTCTGGATGTGGAGCTATTGGTTGGAGGCTGATGAGCTCATCAGTGGCTCGCAACTGAAGACAATGACTCCCATTCCCCACCCCCAGGATCTATTAGCCAATAATTCAACAGGAAGAAGTAGGCTGCTTTTCTCACTTATGACTGACTGTTGATGGGCCCAGTCTTGTGCAGGACCAGTGCAAGCCCCTGAAGCTACCATGTTTTCACGATTGCAATGGCTGTGTCCTGTCTGGAAGACAACAGTTCACATCCCATCGCCCTATCGCTGGGCTCTTACATCCTTTGCTTGACGTTTAATGCATCTCAGGTAATAGCAGTAATACAAACATTATGCTCAATTTGAAGCACGTTTACAGACAGCTGCTTATTTCTGTCTCTGGATGAGGAAATTTTGACAACTGGGGGTTGATCTCGATTATCCAGCAGTTATGCACGAAATGCCTACATCTATGATGTCATCTAGTCAAGGTCATTCCTCCTGCAAGTGGAAACACCTGCAACTACAACAGAGATTTTCCTAAATACAAAGAAGAGGGAAATATTACTAAATTTTCTCTTCTCTTCAAGGTCTTAAACTCATGATAGAGATTTTTAATTCCTCGCATAATTATAAACTAGAAACCAATACCTGACACACGCGGGGCTGAGACCATGTCCCCCCCCACTAGCTAATGATGAAGAAATACACCTGAGAATTAGAAAACTTTCTGAATATCTTCATCCTCCTCAGACCCAAGAAGCTACATTCTGAAAGGAAAGCATCTAAGAATGTGTTTTCACATATTCTATCTCATCCTTACCAGTATGTCTATTTAAGAAGCACTGGTTTAAGGAAATTCAGTGATTATTTAAGATACACTTGGGGGTAGGTCTTAAAATGTAAAATAAATGCCTCATGTGATCTTAAATACGTCTGGACATCTGGAGCATAGTTCAGTTTGGAGCAGATTTGCTTGGAATGAGACCCTTTTTTTCAAAAGTGTAAGAGGAACTGGTAGTGAGTATTTAGAACAGCACATAGACTGTCCTGCTAGTATGGGATGTGGGGACCTCAAACTTGATTCAAGATATCCAAAAGCCAAGTTCTCAATACAAAGATTTATTTGCCCAAGAGGGACAGAGGACATGGATAAGGAGCAAAGACAGGAGACAGAAGAAGAGGGAGAAAGGGAAGGGAACAAAGGAGAGAGGAAAGGGGCGCCAAGGAGAGGGGAAGGGGAGTTTGTTTCAGAGGACAAAAGACTGTGTCTCTCTCTCTCTTTCTCTCTCTCTCTCTCTCTCTCTCTCTCTCTCTCTCTCTCTCTCACACACACACACACACACACACACACTTCCTCCTCCTCCTCAAGGGCCTCAGCCTACCATGAAGACAGACCTATCATATGAAAAAGATAGCAACACATCAAATGCCTTGGGTGTTCTGAAAACCGCTGTTTGGCTCAGAGTGCTGTGGGATGTGGGGGTAGGGTGTCAGATAAGACATGCTGTGGAGTACATGGATGGTTCTCTACATGGGATATGGCATGAGTGGAGAGTTTAGGATGAATGCAAAGTCCCAAGGTGCTTTTCCTTGAAAGCATTTGTTTAAGGAATCATGGTTTTCAACCCTTAATTCTTCATTTTATACCCTAACTGATAATCTAACAATATTTTGTTTTGTTTGGAATTTTTTCTCAGTAAAAATATGTTCTATTTTTCCAAAGTCCCCAAGGATTTATTTCAGAAAAAAAAAAGATAAATTAAAGCAACCAACCTGGAAAAGCAATGTTGATTATTATCAGTGCTCAGAGTTAAGAGTCACGGAAGGGGTCCCCAGCCCCTCCTGACAGACCAAGCCTTGGGACCT